CCTAGAGCGCCATCTACTGTTAAACACTAGCCTAGAGCGCCATCTACTGTTAAACACTAGCCTAGAGCGCCATCTACTGTTAAACACTAGCCTAGAGCGCCATCTGCTGTTAAACACTAGCCTAGAGCGCCATCTACTGTTAAACACTAGCCTAGAGCGCCATCTGCTGTTAAACACTAGCCTAGAGCGCCATCTACTGTTAAACACTAGCCTAGAGCGCCATCTACTGTTACACACTAGCCTAGAGCGCCATCTACTGTTACACACTGGCCTAGAGCGCCATCTACTGTTGCACACTAGCCTAGAGCGACATCTACTGTTACACACTAGCCTAGAGCGCCATCTAATGTTAAACACTAGCCTAGAGCGTCATCTGCTGTTACACACTAGCCTAGAGCGCCATCTCCTGTTACACACTAGCCTAGAGCGACATCTACTGTTACACACTAGCCTAGAGCGACATCTACTGTTACACACTAGCCTAGAGCGCCATCTCCTGTTACACACTAGCCTAGAGCGCCATCTACTGTTACACACTAGCCTAGAGCGCCATCTACTGTTACACACTAGCCTAGAGCGCCATCTGCTGTTACACACTAGCCTAGAGCGCCATCTAATGTTAAACACTAGCCTAGAGCGTCATCTGCTGTTACACACTAGCCTAGAGCGCCATCTACTGTTAAACACTAGCCTAGAGCGCCATCTCCTGTTACACACTAGCCTAGAGCGACATCTACTGTTACACACTAGCCTAGAGCGACATCTACTGTTACACACTAGCCTAGAGCGCCATCTCCTGTTACACACTAGCCTAGAGCGCCATCTACTGTTACACACTAGCCTAGAGCGCCATCTAATGTTAAACACTAGCCTAGAGCGCCATCTACTGTTTAAAACTAGTATCTACAGGATGATCCACGAATTGAACACATCAGCTCGTCATGCTAACTCCACTAGCCGAGTGGATGAAGATGAAGGCTCCTACATGACTTCTTTGTTTCTGCGCGGCCCTTCGAAGGGTCTGAACGGCAGGCTGCCGGTGGCGGCGTGGTAAAACGTGACTCCGATGCTCCACAGATCCACCGTAGCGCCGTATTTCTTCTGGTGGTCTTTCCTCAGCACCGCCCGCTCGTACATGTCTGGATGCTGAAATATCAAACAAATAAATTAATGAAATAATAAAAAATAAATGAATGCGCAAAACACAAACATTAAAGCAATGATCTGCAAACGTTGCGGGAACGTTGCTTTTGGAATGCTTTTTATAATGTGATGCTAAATATTTTAATGCTTTTATCGCACTTTTGTGTGTATTTATGACATCACGCACTCATGCCTTCAGAAAGTTGTTTTTACTATAATGTTTAAAGCCTTTTTCTCAATTATAAAATGGTTAATGTGAGAATATCAGCGGCGTGATATTCGTGATTCGTGATATTACTGGAGTGTTATTTGTGCAAGAAGTTAACGAATAGAAAAACAACACAAGACAAACGTCAACCCAAACTCTAGAGTCGCTCTCTCACCAGATACTCCTCTGTGCCGTACAGCGATACGAACTGCTCGTCGTCCTCCAGTTCGCGAGCGGCTCCGAAGTCGGTGAGTTTGTACACAGAGAATCCGTCGTCTCCAATCACTCGCATGATGTTCCCTGGCTTGATGTCTCGATGCACGATGCCGTACTCGCGCAGGTGATTCATTCCCGCCACTGAATCACACACAACACAAACGATTCACTCACATGATTCATTTGAGTCTTAGTTTTGAGTGAATGTGATGTGTTTGACATGCGCTATAGGGGAACTGCCGAACTAAACTGGCCGTAGTGTATGAGTGTGTGTGAGTGTGTATGGGTGTTTCCCAGTACTGGGTTGCAGCTGGAAGGTCATCCGCTGTGTAAAACATATGCTGGAATAGTTGGCGGTTCATTCCGCTGTGGCGATCCCTGATGAATAAAGGTCTTAGCTGAATGAATGAATGAATGAATGTTGTTGTTTTTAGTGATGCTGCTGATTTCTAAAAGTGTTTAACGTGTAGTGAATGTTTGAAACTCGTCAGATGTGTTTTATTCAACAGTGAGCTGTATATTAGTGTGTGTGTGTGTGTGTGTGTGTGTGTGTGTGTGTGTGTGTGTGTGTGTGTGTGTGTGTGTGTGGTGAACTTGTATTAATCCTGTGTTATTACACTGATCTTACCGACGTCCTGCAGAACGATGAGGAACTCGTCCTCCGGCAGGCCGTACGCATTGGTGGGCTCCTCCAGGACGGTGTAGAGACTCCCGCAGGGGCAGTACTCCATCACCAGCACCTTATGACGTGTGTTCGACTGACAGAACAACACAACACCGCATCATTAGCGTTAGTGTTACTAGTTCTGCTTGACGTCCACTATGAACACAGACCGGTCTGACGGGTCACACATGAGGAAGACCAACAGGGAACTGCAGACTCTGCTCAAACTCTTACACCTTCTCTTTAGTTCTGTCTGATGTACGAGTGCTCGTGTCGTCTGTCTAAGGTTATGTGTACAGCTATGGTGGATTGAGAAAGACAACATTCAACTCAGCTCTAATTAGCTCATTTAACTCAGACTACCAATCTGCCAATCACTGATGACCCTTCAACTGACTAGCCACACTCTAGCAACCACTTACAGCACCCTAGCAACTGTCCCATAGACTTCCATTATAAAAACTGCCATTGACTTTACATTGGACAAACTGACAACACACCAATCCATACCAGACACATACTAACGACATGCTAATTCATACTATAAACATATCAGCAACATGCTAATTCATACTATAAACATACTAGCAACATGCTAATTCATACTAAATTCATGCTAACAAGATGCTAGTTTATACTGAAACATGCCTATAACATGCTAGTTCATGCTAGAACCATGCTAATTTGTTAGCAACTGCCTAGCAACTACTCAGAACACCTTAGCAACCACATAGCAACACGTTAGCAACCGCCTAGTAACACCTTAGCAACCACCTAGCAATGCCTTAGCAACTACTCAGAACATCCTAGCACCCGCCTAGCAACCCCTTTGCAACCACCTAGCAATACCTTAGCAACCACTCAGACCTCTCTAGCAACACCTTTGCAACGACCTAGCAACCACCTAGCAATGCCTTAGCAACCAATCAGAACACCCTTGCAACTATTTAGCAACCACCTAGCAATGACTTAGCAACCACCTAACAACTTTTAGCAAACGCCCAGCAACCACTCAGAACACCCTAGCAATGATCTAGCACCGCCTTAGCAACCGCTAACACCCTAGTAACCACCTAGTAACACCTTAGCAATGACATAGAACAATTTAGCAACCACCTAGCAATGCCTTAGCAACCACTCAGAACACCCTAGCAACATTTTAACAACCACATAAAACACCCTGGCAATGCCTTGGCAACTACTCAGAACAATCTAGCAACCACCTCGCAATGCCTTAGCAACCACTCACCATAGCAACCACCCCTTAGCAACGGCATAGAACACCTTAGCAACCACCTAGCACACCCTAGCAACCACCTAGCAACATTTTAGCAACCACATAAGACGCCACAGCAATGCCTTGGCAACTACTCAGAACACCCTAGCAACCGCCTCGCATTGCCTTAGCAACCACTTAACACCCTAGCAACATCTTAGCAACCACATAAACAACCTTAGCTAACTACTCAAAACACCCTAGCGACACCTTAACAATTACCTGGAACTCCCTAGCAACCGTGTAGCAACCACTCAGAACACCTTACCAACCGCTTAGCAACGCCTTAACAACCAGTCAACAACCAGAGGGTGAATACTTCAGTTCAACTGTATATAGTACACATGTAGTTACAGTATACATGTATAATGTAGTCATATATAGAGTTTATGTGTAGTTTCACTGAGAGTTTGTGCCTTGTTTTTAGTCTAAATATCTAAACATTATAAAATCAAGAAGCATTTCCTGGACGAGTAGAAAATAGTGTTGTTTTCAGGAATAATGAGTCAAAATGAAGAGAGATTTTCCTTAAAACCAGCTAAATAAGACTGGAATACAGTATAATATTGAATTATCTGGTCTTTCGGCATCACCCCTGCTGACTTACCCCAGTGGAATAATGCTGGAGTGTCTCTGCTGCATTTCACTCAGCTAATAACCACAGATCATATACAATACACATGAATGACGACTGAAGCTGAAATGAGTGGAGTAAATGTGTGCACTAAACATATACTCGAGTACAGGCACACAGTGTAAATCTACGTATTGGAGAGCAGTTCCTGAGAAGAGCTGCTGGATTACAGTAATGGATCACTGGTCTGAAGCGTGTCTCCCTCACCTCCTCCTCGACGGCGAACAGCTTGACGATGTTCTTGTGATTGAGTTTCTTCAGCACCTCAAACTCCCTCATCTGCACGTCCAGCGGCCGCAGGAAACTCAGGTTGTTGAACACTTTGACGGCGTACAGATCGCCTGTTTTCTGTTCAGACGCACACAGAGAGAAGGTTTCAGCACAGCCACACACACACACACACACACACACACACACACACACCCACACACACACCGTCTCCAGATTCTGCTCTGTTTAAATCTGCATATTCATGCGGAGTTATTTTGCGAGTGACCTACAGTGATCATTTGACCCATCAGAATGAGCATTTCAGCATCTCGCCAGATCAGATCAGATCATCTGGGTATTCCTCACACACTGTTTCACTTTAATATGAGTTCAGACGTGTTTACTAGACTCACATGCTGTACACTATGGTAGTATGTGATTTGGGACGCATCCTAGATTCAGTTTAACCAGCAGAACATTGGAGGTAGTGATGTATAAACACCACTGTTGACCCGAACATCGGTAAAGAGGAACAGTGCACTGATGTAACTGTACATGTGTGTGTGTGTGTGTGAGAACAGACCCAGTGAATGCTGGTGGTCAGTGTGATGATGATGATGATGAAGATGTCTTTACCTTGTGTCGACCGCGGTACACGTTAGCTGTGGCTCCCTGACCCAGCAGGTCGGACATCATCCACAGGTAATTGGCCGTACTCTGCATGATGACTGTAGATCCACCTGGACACACACCACACAGGCATGAGCTTCAGAAATCAGAGTCCAACACTACATCAGCACAACACTCTGCTCTTATTCTTCAGAGTTCTGCTGAACTGTGGGCTGACCTGCAGGTTAGAGGTGAATGCTCCTTCACTGCTGCCCTAAATTAATGAATTAAAAACCGTTGACAACATGTAAATACACATATATACTGCAGGAATGCTATAACATGCCATTTAACAAACCATAGTAAACCCTGAGCGCAGTTATTATGGCATGCCTATGCTGAGCATGTTACTGTGATGATCACTCAGCGCTAATCATGAACATTCTAGCAACAGAACCCATGAGTAGACCCACACGCAGAATCCTGCTGATGTTTAGCCCATCACTGATTCTGTTGATTGACTTGTGTAAACTTATTTTTATTCAGTTTTTAAATTAATTTCAGTAACATTATTGACTGATATGAAAATATTGATATGATTTATTCATAAACCAGTGTGTACAGTAATATTTCAGTCTTTCAGTCCAGATATTATAAGAGAGACTGGCTTTGTTTACCAGATAAAGTGGATCTAATTGGATTTGTATTGTAGACAATCAATAAAAGTTTAAATGTGTTAACCTCTTCAGGCGCTCGCTGTGTTTTTTACATGCATTTTTATTTCTCTTTGCTATTCGGGCTTATTGGACTCTAATTAGAATAAAACCTCAGTATCATCTTTTAATATGATGTACTTTAGAGAAAAATGATGTCCATATATGTGGAGTTGTGGTGCAAGTTTCCATTAAACACTTTTTCCTGACTGTTTTAATGCATTAATAACATCTTTTTTGACAACATTTTTCTCTCATGTTGGACAGTTAAAACAGTGTTTGGGACATTTATATGCTGCAGAACAGTTGCAGGATGACCCTGTGTGTCTGTAACAAAACTAAACATTCAGAGTGTTTTAACAGCCACTGAAGAGCTCAAATGTGCTGTATGTATGTGGCCACTCGGGCTCTATGAGGTGAAGGTTATAGTTATGATACTCCCAGAATCAGTCCGCATAAATCCACAGATGTTTAACAAAATTCTGCACAGAAATAACAGAAAATGTCCGCAGATTCAGTCTGGCCCTGTAAGGTCAGCAGAATACTCATTCAGTGTGTTCTGGCCCGGTAATGATGTTCTGAAGACATAGAGGTAAAGGTGGGTTTATACGGGGATATTCAGACTTTCTACATTCTCCTTAATAACATAACTTCATTAAAGCATTCTTTGCAAATATTATCAAAGTACAGCCTTGTTCACAGTCAATTAGATAGAGCTGATGTTGTTTTGAAGTCATCCTTGCGTGCTCAGTCCAATCGAATATTCAGAGTAACATGCTAAACAACATAGAGACTGCTAAATGACCGAATGTATAACCAACTTTGCCTCTATTGTGAACACTTCAGCACAGTTCAACATGTGCTAATACACTCCTCAGATTTGGTCAATGTTTATTAAACAGTTTTTAAAGCACATTCTGGTCAATAATAATATTATGATCAGTATGAACACATTAAAACATTAGTAGATAGAGTGCTGACAGAACACTCAACACAATCGGGCCGTCATGTTTGTAAAATAACAATACAGAACACTGAGCTGAACGTTCGCGTAGCTTAACTTACTATGAACGTTAGCAAACATTGCTGCGAATATTACAGACTCTGCAGCTGCTCGGTTTCGTAACACTTTAGCTTTCGTTTCTCTGACATTCACACCGAACACCGAAACACAAGCACGACAGCTTCACGCTGACTCCAGCACACCCCGCGCGGGGTTAATAACGACGATCCTGTCAATCTGGCCGCGGAGCGCCGTGACGTCACAGTTCTGCGGGACTTTCCCGCATCAGCGCGTGATTCTTTCAGCCTTTTCTGCGTGAAACTGCGGTTAAAATCGGTTAAAACAGAAATAAAAGCGAAAGTGAGTCGGTATGGTGCGGTTCTGAGCTTGTGTGCGGGTTATTATGAGGCCGAATCGACAGAAACTGAAGTCAGCTCTACATCTGACAGAATTAAACATGTTATGATCATACAGCGAGCTGTTATTATGAACACAAACTGACGGATATCCGCGTCAGAACACAAGTCTGGCTTATTCTGATGCTGAAACGCGCAGATCAGTCGAACACTGCGCCGCTGCTTCACCGTGTTTTACCACAGTAAAGCCGCGACACTGAATGACGAGCTGACGCGCGATGCAGCGAGCGCTGTGCGGCCATCATATCATGAGTTTATTGTCAGAATAAATGTTTATTTTCTCACCCCGAGAGTACGACAGTCTCTTCCGTTTTCCGTGTTTTCATCACATGAGAGACGCAGAGCCGTGTCTCAATATCCGTCTAGGGCACTACCCGTACAGCACTGCACTACTGCACCTGCGCGGAG